TGTAATCCTAGCACTTTAGGAGGCCAAGGTGGGCCAATCATTTGAGGTCAGGAGCTCGAGACCAGCCTGACCAACATGGTGAAACCCAGTTTCTACTAAAAACACAAAAAAATAAAAATTACAGATACAAAAATTAGCTGGGCCTGGTGGGGGCGGGGATAAATGCGGAGGGACTGTCCGGCTTTCGCTCTCAGCTCGCAGCCGCCGCAGTCGCCGCCACCTCCTCTGATCTACTAAAGTCATGTTACCCAACACCGGGTAAGGGGGTCGGGGCGGCGCGGGGAGAGACCCGGTCGGGCGAAGGGCGCGTCTCGGGAGGGCCGCCGCTAATCGCCCGGGCTGGCCGGCCCGGCGGTTGGAAGTCAAGGATGCTGCCTGGGCACGCTCTAAGCTCTGGTCCGCGCTGGGCGCTGTGCACCGAGAATCTGCGGTAACGCGTGAAAAGGAACACAAAGTTTTGTGTTACAGGGTGGCAGCAGTGTAGAAACCTCTTCCACTGGTAAAGGGCCGAGGGTAAGTCACCCTGCCGCCCGCAGTGCTGGCCCTCCCTGAATTTAGCAGGAGTGCATGCCTGGCCGAATGCGTACGAGTTCTAGGTGAAAGGTCGCAGAAGCAGCTCCAGAGTTTAAATGTAGAGTTTTCACTGTTCCTGACGCTCAATTCTAGAGTAATAATGGAGTGTTTAAAAACTGATTTCCAAATTAGAAACAAATTAAACCGATCTTAAAACATGGGTATCTTTTAGGGATTTTTTTCACCTTAAAAAATTGTGTTAAAATACGTATAAAATTTGCCATCTTAACCATTTTTTAAGTGTACACTTTAGTAGTGTTAAGTAGATTCATATCGTTGTGCAGTCAATCTCCAGAACTTTTTTCATCTGCAAGCTGAAACTCTACCCATTAAACAACCCCTCTTCCCCACCTCCGCTCATCCATTGGCAACCACCATTCTACTTTCTGGTTTATGTAAGGTCTGGGTATCTTGAGTTGAGTGACGTGTTGTCAGATTTTGTGATTTGCCTGAAACATGCAGGCATATAGCCAAAGACTTAAAACAGTTCAAAGAATATAGGGTAAAAAGTGAGTCTCCCCATCCGTAAAATCTAGTCCCCCAGTTACTTATGTTATGTTTCTGTTTCGTGCATGTATAAACATATTTTGTATACATCCAGACCCCCCCACACACAGGTACACAGGCACACACACCCTTTCTTAAAAGTAGCAGCAAACTCTATTCTTGGTCTTGCTACTTTTAGTTGGTATGTCTTGGGACATTCTTTTTTTTTTTTTTAAAGACAAGGTCTCCCATGTTGCCCAGACTGGCCTCTAGCCTCGAACCCCCAGGCTGATGTTCCTTCCTTCTTAGCCTCTGGAGTACTTGGGATTACAGGCATGCACCACTGTGCCCAGGGACAAACATTTTTGGTACATACAGATCTTCCGCCTCCTTTTTTTTTTTTCTTTTGAGACAGAGTATCGCTCTTCTCCCAGGCTGAAGTGAAGTGGCGTGATCTCGGCTCACTGCAACCTCCGCCTCCCGGGTTCAAGCGATTCTCCTGCCTCAGCCTCCCTAGTAGCTGGGACTACAGGCGCGTGCCACCACGCCATGTTAATTTTTTTGTATTTTTAGTAGAGACGGGGTTTCACCATGTTAGCCAGGATGGTCTCGATTTCCTGACCTCGTGATCCGTCCGCCTCGGCCTCCCAAAGTGCTGGGATTACAGGTGTAAGCCACCGCACCTGGCCCCTCCTCCTTTTTTTTTTTTTTGGGACAAGAGTCTCGCTCTGTCGCCCAGACTGGAGTGCAGTGGCGC